CAATATGGAATTGAAATCCCAATATGGAATCAAAATTCTACATAGATGTTGACTCAAGCTGTTGACTTTCTTTTGGGTCAAAAAAAGCTTTGCAGCTAATCCACAGAACTGGAAGTGCTTCCAACTTCTAATTCTTCGTTTATAGTAAAAGCTTTGTAGATTGTACTCAAGTAGAGTTAGTCCAATTAGTTACGACATCTACAATTGCAATTGTACCAGTTTAGCCAAAGAACCAAATACAAACAAATACAAAACTCTCTTCCTTTTCTCCCCAGTGACCATACATGTATATGTAAATATCAGTTAACCAAGGAAACATACAGTTTCATACAGGTGCCACACAGGGTCCTGAATTCCAACTCAGACTGGTGATTGCCTCCTGTTCCTAAAAACTTAATTGTTGTTTACAGCAAGGCAGACATCTCTTCCTTTCTTTTCCACAGATGACACACCCTGATCACATACTTGGCTTTTCAACTGGTTTTTATAGCTGCTTGCTTCAGTAAATTTGGGCAGAAGCTCCTCTACTTGCTTACAATAAATAAATAAAAAAATAAATTAAAAAGCAATTACAACTAGGAAAGAAGGAACAAAGCAATATATTATGTTTAGTCATCAATCTGTTTTCTTGTCCTTTTTCTACTAAGTAGGCAAAGGGTGTGCAGGTGTGGGGTTTTTTTGCTAGACAATGTTTAGATATGCGCACCCCCAAAAGAACACAATGCTGGAGAAACCAGGTCAAAGAAATGCCCTATGAACTAGCAAGAAAGAAGAAGAGGTTTTAATGGCCCTTCACATGTAAATTTTGCTTTCTCCAGAAAATTCTACAGAACTGGATGCAAAATTTCCCCCTATATTACATGACATAGCCTTGGTGAATCTTTTGGACACATCCAGAGCATGAAATCCATCAGAAATAAGAATCAGCATAGGTTTGGAATTTAAATAGAAGAATCTCCTCAAGGATATAAAAACGTTTAAGTTCAAGTCTTACCAAAACTGTCTTTCCCATTAGTCAAAATAAAATTCAATACATACAAGTTGCATCTTTCCTTTTCTGACAATTTCTTACTGTGAAAGAACCAAGACACCGTAACTTGTGCATATTTTAAATCAGAGCAATATTCAGAGAAGGTCATTGTTAATAAACTGTTGTATTTACACCCACAAGGAATAGCAACTAGTTTTTCAGTGTTTTTCCCCTACCTGAAGACTCTTTAATACAGGAATCAGCAGTCTGTTCTGTGTTTCCTTGAAATAAAGACATTCATAGATGTTAGTTCACTGTTCCACAGACATTAAGGAAAAAAAACCAAACAGAACACAACTGAAGAAAAACCAGAAGGCAACTGAACAAAGTTTGCTTTATAGTCAGGGATCTGGAATTTCTCAGGAACAACTTGGAAGTTTTGGGGGCAATACTTTACTTACACTAATTTCAACAGGACAAAACAGATCCAGCCAACTCCACATAGAAAAACAATGGAAGAAGAAACAGGACATGCAGGTTTTTGAACTTGTACAAAATGACATCATCAGAAAAAATGTCTTAAGAAGATTCAACAAGACAGAAATTGATGATCAGCATCACTCCCTTTCTGCCAAACAAGACCAAATAGGAAAGCTGCAGCTAGCTAGTAATTCTGACCATAAGCTTTTCACTCTTTCAGCAAAACCCCCTGTGTCTAAACATACAATCTTGTTAATGGTCCTCTCAAAGTAAGTTTATTATGACAAAATCTTTCAGTAAGAATAATTTGTCATTATTCTTAAAAACAAACAAACCAACCAACCACATGAAAACTATTTCATATTGCAAAAGCAGTATTAGGAACAATTATCTAGCCTGATTTGACACAAAGCACCCCCTCATTAGCAGAATTATTTTATTTCAAAAACCAACACCAAATCCATCTCCCCCATATGCAGAAAGTGTCTTTCTGCACACACTTTGCAGCCATCATAATGCAGCTGCCAGCAGAAGCAGTTACAAATACAGTGAAATCAAAGACTACTGTTAAAACACAAGATACCCCTCTCTCCTAGAAGACTTCGCTCTTTACAGTATCCTATGAAGTCAGAACAAGGATCAGGAAGGATGCCTGCGAAAGCAGCACTGTGGTATCCTCCATCTTTACCCATATGTCTTGAAGGGAAAAAAAAAAACAACAAACCACCAAAACAAATCAAAGAGAAGAGACAGATATTATTCACTTACTACAGGCACCAACTTTGGGAATCTTCTGCAAGTTTGATTATCTGACTTGACTCCCTCACCCAATCTCCTTAGCTCTGCTTCATTTACCTTCTCCATCTACCTTCCCTCCCCCTTTTTCTATTTTGTAAGCTTACATATGCTCTTGAGATGGTTAAGCATTTACTAATTAAGTCCCATACCAAAACCCAAGGATATCTGTTACAGATATCTCCAAGTGCTCCAAGACAAGTAGTAGATCATTACTAACAATCAAGGCATCTGAAGATACAAACCACAACCTTTTGCAAGCACACACCAAGGTTCCTCTAGATCATCTCACTGAATAAAAAAAACAAGCTAGGAAAAAACCCTCCTCTTCTTGTACCACCTCCCAGTAGACACCCTGAAACACAAGCTTAATGTTCAACCATATATCAAAATTAAGCATTTGGTTACCATAATATCCCAACATGCAAAAAATAAAAATGACTGGAAATCAACTGCAGTGATGCACATGAGGAATGTACATACTTTATTTCATAAAGCAAAAACTGGGTATTGCAAGCATATGTTTCAACAGTGAAAGGAACTAGAAGTCGTTATTTCTAGAGCTGCTTACACTACTTCTACAAACATCTCCTGAAGCCTTTTGAAATGAAGTGTTAAGTGTCTCTGTAAGAGCAAACAACTGATTAAAACGCAGAACTACAAATGAGGATTTCCAGCTCACTTCTGAAAAACTAGGTATCTCCACCTTAAAAAGAGTCAACAGCTTACAAGAAGATAACTGTTCTACAGCAGTTCCTCTGAACCCTCTCTGCTGCTCAAAAGCAGAGAGGAGGAGGGAATGCATGGTTTAGCCCTCTTTTTAAATCAGAAGCCAAATCTGCTGTGGAAGAAGCAACAATCCAGTAAAAATGCAGGGAGTAAGAAGCATCCTTTCTAAACCGTCTGGCTGTCTATGATGGTGCTTGGTTGGGGGTTTGTAGAGCTGTATCTGTACTGCAGCACTTTATGCACCTCTGAGACAGCAACTAGAACAAGTAACCAGACAATTCACTGTATAGCACAAAGGGTGGCAAATAAGTTATTTGAAGAGGATGCTATGATTCAACCAAATATTCGAAATTGCAACCAATGGACAAGGATCATACAGACACTGCCTGAATGAACTTGTAGGTTTTGTGTACTTCAGTTATCTTTCCGAACGTCTCAAGCGCTGTCTTCATTAACCAAACGGAGTTGCCAGTTGTACTTCTCACTAAATTCATGAGGTAGAAAAGCTGTCTTTGTTCGTTTTCTACTAGAAGCATTTCAGCAGGTTGCAAGACTATACAAAAGCTTTTTTACCACAACTCAGTTTTAACTTAATCACAGCTGCAATAAAAACCAACAGGAAAAACTTTATCAACAAAGAAATTTGTACCACAATACTGTACATCTCTTAGAATTTTAGATTCATCAGAACTGAAATTTTAAAAATCCATGAAAGCAGAAGTTCGAGTATGCATCAAGCAAGCAAGCATGCAGCTCCAGAGATAACAATGGTAACTGGAAATGCTCGGCAGGCATTCCATCTTCATTCATCACATCACTGTCTAAATGCTGGAGAACTAATTAAAGTAACTGTAAAACTATCACTGTAAGAAGAGACGTGCTGACTAGACCGTACCCTAAGTCCTCTCTTCTTAACTGCATGAATAAGAAAGAGAGATGCCCTTGCAGTGATTTCAGCCACTCATCTCAGTATGGCATTCCACAGGCTGTAGGAGCACAGGCACACAGGGAGACTCTGGTCACTGTTGCATTCTGCAGCATTAACAACCAGTAAGAGGAAAGAGCACATCGAGCAGTACTTTACACCACTTTCACCGCAACAACAGAGCGTGTTCCACAGAATGCCAATGTCTGACTGTCAGACAAACCTTTGTCTATATGCCACCATTCAAAGGCACTGGAAAACACGGCTGCATGTTGCCTGTGTCTAGGACTTATCAGCTCATCACTAGCAGAGCTATTTGTTGGGCATGTGACTCTTCTATGACCAAGTTTTTAATTTTGGTACTGTACTAACTCTGGATTAACAATGCGTTACATTCATGTCTTAAGGGAAGGATACAGGGAATGGAGCAAACCAAAGAAATAAGCGTAGCCTTAAACACACAAGAGCATCATGAACTGACGATGCACGCCTTGTTCCCCTTGCTCTTGACCCCAATCCAGTCACACTCCACACACCCAAGAACAAGGGCGTCCATCCGGGCTGCCTGCTCAGCCCAGCCCAAACACCCTGTGTCCTTGATACACGCCCTTGCCCAGTACCTGTTATCAGTGCTTCGGAGAGTGGTCCAGAGGGCAGGAGTTGAAACAAAACACCATGGATCTTACTTCATAAAAGGCAAAGAAGCTTCTGCCCTCTTCTCCAGAAGGACAGGGATTAATTTTTCTGTTGCTGTTTTGCTTTTTAAAACTTCTCAGATCTTCCAGAAGCAGCAAGGAAGAGAGGCTCAGACCTACAGGGGTAGGGACCAGCTTCCTCCCCACATTCCAAAATACAACTGCACTCAAAAGGGAGAACATGGAAACAATAAGCACATACACAGTTCCACCCTGGCCTCTCACTGACAACCCCGGCACTTATATCTGAGCATCCATTCACATCTCCCTTGCCACAACCAAATCGCTATCCCTCCTGCTAGCATTTGTACACAAAAAACATGAACTGAAGAGATACAGAATGAAGCAAGGACAGTTAAAATGAAATTCACTGTCTTAATTATGATGCTGTTCTGTTCACACAAACCTGAGAATGACTTGACATCAGATCACAAGAACGATGATTAGTCATGCAAGTATGTCCTGTTTGTAAGAGGCACAAAGTAACAATTAGCATCTAAACAGTATTTTATATGCTCCAATTTTACAAGAGTTCGCCATCAGTAGACACAAAGCTCTAAGACATAAGTTTTACTGATTCAAAACTGTCTATAAAGGAAAAATCATATCTATTTCACATTCACACTATCTTAAAGTTTTAGCATCTTGTTAAAAAGAGAACTGACACACTCAGCAACTGCTCCGAGTCTCTGGCAGACTTCCTCACTTTCCCCGTCTTTAAAGATATCACAACTACATCACTATTAATCTATTACGTGTTGTGACCCCTAACATCCAGTGACTAAGTATTTCTTAAACTGCCTTTTTCAAAGCTAGAATTTGGACAAGAAACAAAAACATGCGTGTTCTTGTAACAAAAATATCTTTTAAAAAATATTTTATACAAAGAAAGAGAAGGAAGAAACATGAGCCACAGAAGTGCCCCTCCTAAAGTTTGCAGAGCACCATCAGATTTCCAGCATTTTCTCAGACTTGGTATTTGTTAATATTTTTTACACCTAGTTTATGCTTATAATCCAGAAAACAGACATCAGAAGAATCCAGTATTTTCAGTCATTCATTCAGACATTATAAAAAACCCATGGTTCTCAGGATTCAACTCTTATTGTAGATTTTTTTTTTTTTTCCCCCACACAAAGCCTACGTTTTATCATTTTGGCTTTAATGGGTTTAGATCTACTAAGTATCAAGAACATTCTGTGACAAATCCATACCAGAATTTAAACTGAAATACAAATAAATTTTTAAGGCAAAAAATAGCCACAAGGAGTTTTTAGAAAAAGAATAAACTCTTTCAAGCGACACATATCCCAATATATTAAGTAAATAATACACATACAAGCGGGGCAAGAACATAGTGACAGCAGTCAAAGGAACACGTGCTTTTTAAACTGACATAGAATTCGCTTGACTGGATTTAGCTTCATTTAATTGTGACCGCTCACCAAAATGCTGAATCCGTTTCATTATTTTTTTTTAATTTAAACCAAACCCAAACAAACCCAACTCAGGCCAACCAAAGAACCCCCAAAAGGTAAATCCAAGCAGAGAGATGAAATGACCGGCCCATTCACACAGAAGGTCTACAGCCAAGCCCGAAACCCAAATTATATTCTGGAGTCCCAATTCAGCACTGCAGCAAGCGTCCAAACTCTCGTATAGGAGAAGAGTCAGCGACAAAAGGAAAAACGATCCTTCCCCGGATTTCTTCCTTCTGTCCCACTTGCACGGACACGGGCGTTATGTCAGAAAAGGGAAATTTTTAGTACTTTTCCTCACAACTCCCGTTCCCGGACGACAGCTATCTAGTCATCAGCTGCTCTCCCTTCCACTACCCCTCCGAGCCGTAGGGGAGAACCGAGGAAAGCGCCTCCCGCTCTCTCCCACCGGACGGGCCCCATTTCCCCTCACGCTCCCCTCAGCGCTCAAACACCCGCCGCCCGGAACGGAGAAACTACTTCGGCAGAGGACGGAGGGGAGGGAGGCCGGCGGGGCCGGGCGGCCGCTCCCGCC